GAGGACATACTGACTGCTGCATTGTTGTCAGAGAAGCCAGCACTGCATGTAGAGGTTGTTTCTTTGACTCAACTCCAAAAAAGTTGAAGACAGGTGTTCTATGTTTTATGTGATTATCTCGTTTTTTGTAATAATTAAAATGCAGGTCAAACTTATCTAATAGCAAAAATAAAACAAAGGATGATTTCATTTAAGGGTAACAAAACATTTTGCCGTCACAATGAGCAGATACTTGTTGAAAAACTTTCCTTGACATAAACTTTCTGGGTGTAGTTCATCTGTCAGGCAGCAGATCTTCTCCTGGGAGTGACACAGATTGCACTTCTTCCCCTTTAGGACACAAACTTTAGCACAAAACCTCATCTTAACAGAAACGAGCAACCTGACCGACAGCCTGCAGCCAATAAACAAACAATCAACGGGAGCCTGTATTGCACAAACCTGCTCAAATTGGGACCTGATTCCCCCAGGGACACAGTCAGCGATGCAATAAGGGAGGAAGCTTTGGAGTAAAATTAGAAGCGGGAGATGTAATTTGATGAGTGACCTCTGCTGGAGAACCTCCATGGTTTCCATTAAAGCCTGATACTATATTAAGGTCATAGGATCTCACTTGGTGTTGGCCATGTTGCCTCATGTACACTGGTCAAAAACGCCAAGGTACAAGGTTTCTGTTCTCAATGTTTTTATTGGATTATAGATTTGAAAAATGAATCAGAACAAAAGGACTCAGAGTGCAAAGACCTTTCCACCTGTTGATAAAGAAGCTGCAGAATTATTCAGATCACTTCCCGGTGTGTTTCAGGATTTCAGTGGTCCAGTTTGATACGTTGTACTGGAACCACACATTTAAAAGAACACCAATTTACACAAAGGAATTCTGAACAGTGGCTGAGGTAGAGACACAAACTCTGAATAGTCAAACAACCCTAAACGATTTAGACAGATGCCAAAACATTCACAAATGTTTATTTTTTATTTTTTTGGAAAGTTTGGGTATCAAACATGATGGACACACAAAAAAAATGACTTAGTGGATGGACCCAGTGTTTACTTTTTTGTTTTTTCAAGGCATGAAATAACCACAAAATCATCTTCACTGCTTGATGACTCCATTTTGTCTTGCACTGCAACTCTCCTCAATAAATAGAAAAATAGACGCATCAGACTCATCAAGGTTGCAAGATTTCTGTGTGAAACATTTTTCATAACATTACCAATCCTAAAAAATCATCTGAAAAAAGAAAGTACTCCATGTGCGAAGACCTTTAGTCTGTTTTTTCTTTCGGCTGCGTTTTTCGGATGTCTGTAAGGAAGAGGATTAGATCCACTGAAAAATGTTTTTTGGTTCTGACTTTTTTTTTTAGGATTCTGATTTTAATCTCAGAATTCTGAGAAAAAAATCTGAATTCTGAGATGGAAGTCAGAATTCAGATTTTTTTTTCTCAGAATTCTTTAAGAAAAAAAAGGCAGAACCAAAACATTTCTTTTCAGTGGGCTTAATCCTCTTCCATATATCTGTCTGTGGTCCATCGTACAGAAAATGTGTTTGATTTGCAAACATTCTCTAGTGATTAACTGGGGACAAAACAGATCTTCCAATAAAACTGGAATATAAATGTTATCTTTATGGAAGGAGCAGAATGATTGTTTTACTGTCTATTCTCTCTGAGGTATGTTTCCAGCTCAGCTGTCTCTCAAGAGGTCACTGCAGTGGTTCAAACCTTTCTTAAAGCCTCACGCCTGGGAGACTGTACCTGCAACCCACACGTCACATTTGCACTCTTTGTGGCTTATAGTCTCTGAACACACCATTAAACCTCTCCTCCAACACCAGACCTTCAGACATGAACACATTCATTTCCCTTCAGTGCTGCAGTGTATTCATCCATTCAGGATCATTTCCATTACAGGCTCCAAGGATGAAGCTAACAGAGTGTAACCGACATGCAGACACAGAGGCGGCTCTTAAAACACACACACACACACACAGTCTATTTACCGTGCAGGTAAACTGTGTGAAACAACGCTGATGGCAACCTACTCGTCAGCTCAGATTTCGGCACTGTATGCAGCTCGATGTGACCGATAATGTTTCTCACACTTGTATGAGTTGATGGTTTTATTGAAAGCTTAAAATGTCCACCTTTCACTTAAAGACAGGGTTGGTCAATTTCTAAAACTAGCATGATTTTGAAAGTAGCATTCCCCTAGCGCTTCATCTGCAACCATCCCCTCCCCTCTGTACTCCCTCATAAGCCACGCCCCCTCACTTACATACAGAGCTCCATCCCTCCAGAAGTGGACCTCAGCTCATCTCTTACATTGTGTAGAAACTACGTCGTCTCAGGTCTCATTCAGCGGTACGTAAACTCACAGTATAAACTCCTAAAGTCATCGGTGACGCTCTTTGAGTGTGAGCTAGAGCACGCAAGAGGTAGAGAGCGAGCAGGGAGACAGGGAGGCGTCTGATTGGTTCATCAGATTGGTACCTCGTGGCAGACATTGGTTGAAGTTTTTACAGACTTACAAACTGATACAGATGACAGATTGTCTTTGTTCCTTTTTCAGAGAACATGAGTTATTAATTTCTGTCAGGACCTAAAGACAATTTCAAATAGAATCCAAAAAAGTGAATCTGGAGGAAATGACCAACCCTGTCTTTAATGCTGTAGTTAATGTTGACATAATCATGTGAACCTGCGTGCATTATGTTGCTGCTGCATAAATAAAAACAACAACTTGGATGACATTTTCCTGAAGATGACATAACTGAACGGATAACAGAGCTTTCATATGAGACAAGATCGGATCCAGTATGAAGAGGCTCTCCTGGAGTTTCCAGCTGGCAGCGTCGTCTCTTCAGTTTCCAGCAAAGCCGCCTCCTCAGCAGCACCATGGAGTGAAACCATATGATTGCTGTAAGCGCCTGAGGAGGAAGGAGGCACGCTAATGTAAAGCAAGCAATCCCCTCTCCACAGAGAGAGAGAGAGAGTGTGTGTGTGCACTGTGGAACAGGACAGGTGGAAACTGAACTTCATATCCTCACTAGCTGCCCCAAATATAAAGACATTAGAGACACTTCCTTTCCCAGATTTAATGATCAAATCCCCGGCTTTCTGTCCCTCCCTAAAGAGGAACAGATGAGAATCACTCTGGGAGAAGAGAGCTGTAGAGATATCAGCAGAATATGTGTCTGCATGTCATCGAGTGAGAGAGGGTTCTATGTAAGTTATTTATATTCAAGGTTCTTCATGTCACAATACATGTCTGGTCACAATATAAGACATGTTTACTCATCTGTAAATAATTTGTATTACTCTTTTATGTAATTGTGTTTCACGTCATTATTTAATTTCATATTATTATATATATTTGTATTGTATATTTTGCTTGGGCAACATGTTTTTTGTTTAACGTCATGCCAATAAAGCCATTTGAATTGAATTGAACTGAGAGAGAGAGAGAGAGAGAGCGAGAGAGAGAGAGAGAGAGAGAGAGAGAGAGAGAGAGAGAGAAAAGCTGCACAGACACAAGAGAGAGTCGAGCAGCTCTTTTAAGATAATGAGAACTTCTTTCTAAACTGATTTTGGTAACACTTTATAATAACCATCATCTATAAAGGGTAAATAAGGGTAAATAGATAGTTAATTAACCATTAGGTAATAGTTATTTACTGTTAACAAACAATGAAATGATAGTTAATAATGTTTGCTAATGATTTGTAATGCTATAATTTATGTTATGTTAACAGTTTATTGATGCACACATTATAACATTTCATACACTTTATAAAGAGTTAATGATGACCAAATGATTTATAAACCTTTAAGGGATGGTTTATAAAACAATAGATAATTTATATTTTATCAATGATTAATAATTGGTTTATAAACAATCACCTGACTGTGATAAAGTGGAATGAATGGCTGGGTAAAAAACAATATAATATTTCTTTTGGATGCCTGCTTGATGATATTGCTAAATGTAGCCCAGGTAACTATGACACATTCCTCTATTTTAAAAACACTCCTCTATTTTAAAAACAACATATATGTAGTGGAGGTGTAACTCAAGTTATTGAAAGATAGTTAGAACTCATTTTATGCCTAAAGAAGATGATTGAAACATAACAAATACAATCATATCTAGTTGTCTCATCAAGTCACTACTAAGGGTTAACTTTCTGTTGTTGTCTTTGAGTGATTTGGGTTAGGGTGAGTTTCATGAGTTTGTAAGTGAGCCACTCGGTGAACTCTATTAGTCCGTGGGCCGGCCAATCCAAGTACCAACGCCTTATTTGCTGCATATTTTCCTACAAAAATGAAATCATAGGATGGGTTTAATATGTAGCCAAAAGCCTCTTGTATTCATATGTCATGTGTCATACTACCTCACTGAAATCACAGGGTGCTTCCATGACTATGTACAGAGCGTACTGTAAGACAGAAGTAGTGAAGTTCATGATAGATAAAACATACAGTATATCTCTTAAGATACTTTTCAGAATATAGAAGACCACCAGTCACCACGGCTCAAAACATCAGCATATAGCTCTTTATAGATTCTTCAAATTAAATAATTCAGAGTCAGGATATTAAACATTTTTGAGAAAACCTGTTTTTTCCTTAATAAAGTGATATTATTAAGGATATATAAATGACCCCTACATCAAAATAAAGAGAAAATACCAACAGTTGACAGAAGAGATTATTCATGGCTCTATATTTATTCAGATTTGATTTGCAAACTCTGTTTTTGCAGCTGATTCTAGATGTTGTGCCGACCTCTTGTTGTCTCCAAACTCGTCCGTCTCTTCTTTAAATGGAGTCCTCTGTTTGCTTTGAGGTCTCAGCTGAAACAAACAAACAATACAATGGTTTAGTGGACATACATCACAAATCAAATGAAGTTCATCTAATGTCAGAGAAATGTTCCTCAAAGTGAGCAATGTTTTCTTAAGAATATATTCAGAGCTGTTTTCATGAAGTTACCATTGACACTTGTCTCTCGTCTTTTCTTCTTCTCTCTCGTTGTCGGTCTGTTCATTCAGCCTCATCCTGTCTGTGTCCTCTGTGCTGCTTCCTGTCTCCTCTGTTCTGTTGTTCACGGCTCTTCTTTAGATTTCACCTCCTGTTCCTGAAGAAAAAAAACAAAAAAAAGAATCAAAAAGGATCCCATGCTGAAAACAAACATTGTGTAGGAATCAAACTCACCTTTTTTAGATCCCACCTGCCCGCTGAGGGAATGAATCAAAGAGACGCTGGGACATTCAATGAACCAAAAAGTTCATTTTGATGAAACAAAATGTAGCTCACATCACATGACCTGATATTATGTGACATCATTAATCATCACATCAGATCAGATCACATGACGAGACAACACATCACAACACAACGTAACACACAAAGACACAACAAGACACAACAAAACACAACAAAACAAGACAACACATGACATGAATAACACACATAACACATAAACACAATATAATATAGAAACATATTATCTGAAAAAAATCAAATAACAACAAAATAGAAGCCAACACATGACGTAATATAACACAACATTACATATTTACACAATAACACAACATGATGTGAAAAAACATAAAATCTGAAAAAATCACAACATCACATTAATATCCCCTGACTATGTTTTCAAGTTTCCAGTTTTCTATTGTTAAGGCCTTAAGATCCAGAGTTTACCGTACTTGGATGAGAGGAGGAGTCGAAGCGGAGCAGAGGTTACCAACAGAAACGTATCAAAAAGTTATCAGACAGTCTGAGCCCGTTGTTAGTTGATGAGCTGGTGAGGGAGCCTGAACCTGAATCTCAAACAAGAGCTGCGACAATAAATGACAAACACTAAACAAGATTCATGTTCAGTGAGTAAACACACTGCTATGTGCCTACAGTGAGAGCAACCAGAAGTTCATAATAACATGAATAGATGCTGTCACTGTGATATAACGCATTGGTTTGTTGCCTTTTTAAAGCCTGTTGTTACCTGGAGACACAGGTGCATTAGAACCAAATGCCAATACAAGAAGAGGCCAGATAACCAAATAGCCTGGATAAATAGCTAGTAAGCACAATGTTCATGACATTAATGTGGTATGAGACTGAAGTTATCTAAGATGCAAGAGTTCATAAAACAGCTGACTTGCCCCTTACCCACATTCATTTCAAAGGTTAGAGCAGCAGGAGAATGGCAGGTACCAGGAACTAAAAGTAACAGGTTTCTCATCACACAATCCTGATAACCATGCAAGAGTGATTCAAACAATGTAACAAGCCAGGTACATTTAGATTATGTTTCTATCATACTTCATATTCAGGTTTTTTTTCTGATGCGACCATATTTGGACATGAGGAGGAGGAGCTGGAGAGGAGCAGGAAGTTAGCAAATGTCAAGTTATCAGACCAAAAGTCCTTACTTCTTATCAGTTCAGTAGCTGCTCAAACAGCTAGTTTCCAGAATGAGTTTCTGCATTAAGTGATAGAAGGTGATAACATCACAAACACATCACAACCATAGACTGTAACATTGACGTAAACACTGTGATATAACCCTCGCTTTTGTTGCCTTTTGGAAGCGTTTGTTACCTGGAGCCACAGGTGACTTGAGGAGAGGGTGGAGCTGAGGAGGAGCGCTACATGAGAACAACTTTGTGCAGGAGATGTTCAGTATAATGCTGGAGGAGGAGCTGGAGAGGAGCAGAGGTTAGCAAATGCTTCTTTAGCATGTGGCTAATTCATTAGCTGCCTAAAGAAAGTGATAACAGAACATTACATCACAACCATAGATTTGTTAAATGAATAGATGACCCCACTGTAATAGAACTCATTATTTTGTTGCCATGTCAAAGCCTTTTGTTACCTGGAGACGGAGGTGACCATGTTTGAATACAACGGTGGAGCTGAAGAGGAGTGAAGCGCTGGCAAAAGCCAAGTTGTACGACCAAACAATGTAACAGTGTTAAAACACAGAACAACACAGTATACCAGGTACAGTGAGCAAAGACACTGATACCATGAGCACAGTGTTTAAATTATTCAATGAAATCCTGGGTCTTTCATTTTCACATTTCTGTGATCTGTGAGGAGGAGCTGGTGAGGAGCAAGAAGTTAGACCAAAAGTCAGGACCTCTTATTAATTCATTAGCTGCTAAAACAGCTAGTTTTCTTCACATTATAGAAGAGTTATAACATCACAGCACATCACAACCATAGACCGTTAAAATGGATGTAGCCACTGTGATGTAAACTTTGGTTTGTTGTCTTTTTAAGCCTTTTGTTACCTGGAGCCACAGGTGAACATGTTTTGAGGAGCTGAGGAGCTGAGGAGGAGCGCTATATGTGAACCACGACGTATGCTGGAGATGAATATTATAATGCTGAAATGCATTTTTGAAATTCAACTTTTTCTTCTGTGACCATATTTGGAGGAGAGGGTGGAGCTAAAGAGGAGCGAGATGTTATCAAGTGCCAAGTCATCAGACCATACAGGAAGTGCCCAAAGAGTTGAAGAGAGAAAACTACATCACACATCACAACCTTAGTCTGCAAGAATATCTTATCTAAACTTAACATAACTTATCTAAACTTATCTAAGCTTAACTTATCTAAACTTATCAAAACTTATCTAAACTTAACTTATCTAAACGTATCTAAGCTTAACTTATCTAAACTTATCTAAACTTCACTTATCTAAACTTAACTTAACTTATCTAAACTTATCTAAACTTCACTTATCTAAACTTAACTTAACTTATCTAAACTTATCTAAACTTAACTTATCTAAACTTAACTTAACTTATCTAAACTTATCTAAACTTAACTTATCTTATTCTATCTTATCATATTCTACCCAACACGGGAGCTTATCTCTAGTGAGGACGCTTCCGTGGAGGCTCTCCTTCCACCCAAGCACTTAATAGTCTTTGGTTTGTTTAACTACATTATTTAAAAAATGGTAAATGGACTGGACTCACAGCTCTTTTCTCGTCTTCTGACCATGAAAACACTCTGCATGTAGCCTATAACTTTCCCAACAGATTTATTGAAATTTTTTTTTGCCCATATTAACCCTTCCATGCATGAATTATATCAGGTAACCAGTTTTAAATGCAATTTGCAATTTTAGGACATGCAAGGTGACATTATTTTATTTTAAATTCATAATTCTGAAGAAGTTACAGAAATTTCCACCAGAGTGGACATAATGCAACCCTAAAATGCAAAAAATACTTGTATTTATTTATTTTGGAGTGCATTAACTTTTTATCTCATCATCTCGACATAAAATGGGCAATAAAAAAATTCTCAACAAAGTTTCAATTTTAATATTTTTAACTGGCGGAAATTAGCTTCCATAGCCTGATTGGATTAAATATTAGATTTCACTATGCACTTTTAATCTAAAAATGCTGAAGCAGAGTTACCCTAGAGCAAATCTAACAGGGGGAATCAGATAAAAAGTAATTAACAAAACTCCCAGCGATAACCTCCTTCATAAGTTGGGCAGTATGCTCAGGTCTCAAAATGTATGTAGTCTATCGTGCCGGTTCAAGAACCCCTCACTGCAAACTGACTGTGGTCAGAGTGCTCAGCGCTCAATATGGCCTGAAGAAAGTAGGCCACTCTCCCGGGCCTTGTAGCCAATCATTGCAACGCGGTCTGCATGAACTCGTCTGCGTTGTTACAAAAATCTCGGAGGTTGAGCTGGGCGCTCAGACCCTCCACAGACCCTCCTCTCGCGATTGCGCAATATCGCCGCGCCGACCGCAAGAAGCATGAAACCTGATTCAATGAGTCGCAATGTGCAGCACATGGCCAATTTACATAACATTATTTTCCCGTGAAAACACTGTGGAAAGATTTGAAGTCTGGCTAGCAAGCCAGCCTTTCTGTTAAACATGCTGTCTGATCATATTTACTGTTTGGTAGCTATAGGTAAATTTGTTGAGAGAAATGTGTGCTAGCTTGAAGGTAACTTCATTCAGCTTTCTGGTTCATTATTATCTCAGGCAACATTAAAGTGACAGCTGGTCAACACATGTAATAAGAGAGGGAATATAAACTTAATGAAAATCAGCAGGAGCTAATGTTACATATTTAATGATAGAAGAGAAAATATTGCCATACTTGATGACTGCATTATGACGCTCTCTCAGACGCTGCTCTGAGAGCTACTTGCATAGTGACTGCCCTTCACATCACCCCTTAGTAGAACATGGTAAGCCCAGTTCTGCAAATACATCCCATTTATAAAAAGGGACTGAAGGTTGGGAGCACGGGTTCTTCATGTTTCACTGAAACTTTATCAAACAGTTAGATCAGAACATAGATATAGACAAGCAATTGTGTTTTTCTTATTGTTTGCACTGCTTCTTTAGTCTGAATGCTAAAAATCGTCTGTAAATTAACATTTTAGAGTTGATATTTTTAAAAAATCTTCCCGGGGGAGCATGCCCCCGGACCACCCTAGGGAGTTTGGATCCATGTCACCTTTTTCATCTCTGATGAGTTTGGACCCCTGTACAAATATTACAAGCATTAGTTGCAGGTTTAGAATAGTCATTCACATATTGTTTATGAATGGTTTATCAACCATGTATAAAACAATTGTTAGTTTTATAAACATCAGTTCCAACTTTATAATAACTATCCAAATAATGTTTATAGATGCTCTACACATTATTTATTAAATATTTACAAAGTATTATAATCTTCAGTTCCAACTTTACAATAACATCCAGATAATGATTGTAGATGGTTTATAAACCAATTATTAATCATTGATAAAATATGAATTATCTATCTAAAAAATATTTATAGATGCTTTACAAAGTATCAGTAAGGGATTATAATCTTCAGTTCCAACTTTATAATAACCATCCAAATAATGTTAATAGACGCTTTATAAAACATTTACAAACCATGAACAAATATCTGGTCCATGTATCTCTGTAATGTTTATAGATGTTTTATAAACCATCTCTTAAAGGTTTATAAATGATTTGGTCATCATTAACAAACACTTTATAAAGTGTATGAAATGTTATAATGTGTGCATCAATAAACTGTTAACATAACATAAATTATAGCATTACAAATCATTAGCAAACATTATTAACTATCATTTTATCACTTGTTAACAGTAAATAACTATTAACTAATGGTTAATTAACTATCTATTTACCCTTATTTACCCTTTATAGATGATGGTTATTATAAAGTGTTACCGCAGACATTAATACATTACATTTGGTTATTATGCATTTGTCATGATGCAGAAATAATTTATTATCATTCTCACACTAAACTTCATTAGTCTGAGATACCTCGATGTGCCACAAATGTTCTCTCATATTCTGATACTTTAATCTCTGTTATTGCAGAGCTGAAATATTAAGGATTCCTTTATCAGATTTCTCTGATAACTCTCATGGGTTCTTCCACACCTACTCACATTCACACCTACGGGCAATTAAGAGTCCCCAATTAACCTAACGAGCATGTCTTTGGACTGCGGTAGGAAGCCGGAGTACCCGGAGAGAACCCCCGGGGATTCAACCCTGGAACCTTCTTTCTTTTTAAATATCTCTTTATTAATTTGACAGGTATCGTGATACAATAATTATTAAGGACATTTTTTTGGGGGGTAACATGTCACATACCCCCCCTCCCCACCCATACATATACACAGGCAGACATGCGCACACACACATAGACACATAAATTACAATAACATAACCATACCAGGGGGCAAAAAGAAAAGACAAGCACAAAACACAAAACACACACACAAAACAAATATATAATATAATAATACTAAAGAAAAATAATGATAATGATAAAAAAAATATATAATAGTAAAATGAAAAAAACAACGATATAACAGTGATATGTATCTATTCCTTCCTTCTTACATTGTTATACAGAGCATAGATAGAGAATCAACTGTCCTGTAGTGTCTTTAAATCTATTATATAATTGAGCACAGGGCCCCAGACAGATACAAATTTTTCACATGAACCCTTCAAGTTGTACTTTATTTTCTCCAAATTTAAGAACATCATGAGGTCCTTTAACCAGTCCGAAGCTTTGGGGGGAAATGGTGATTTCCATCCCAATAATATTCTTCTGCGAGCTAGAAGATATTCAAAGGCAATGCAGTCCTTCATTTTTCTACTGATTATTTGATTACTGGCAGTACAGTAAAATAGCAATTTCTGGACATGGTGTCAGCAACATGTTTAAAGCCGTTGGAAGGTGTTTAGACATAGTTGTCCATAAACCATGCAAGCTGGGACAGGACCAAAACATGTGTGACATGTTTGCTGGAGACATATGACATCTATTACAAGTGTCTGAGATACTGGCGTACATTTTGGAGAGTTTGTAGTTAGTAAAATAGGAGCGATGGACAACCTTAAGTTGTATCAGTTTAAGTCTGGAACAAGACGAGCTGTCATTCACTCGGGCTAAAACACTACACCAGTCATTGCCATCTATAGCTTTACCAAGTTCCTCCTCCCAGTCTTTTTTGATATTGTCCAGAGAAGTTTCTCTGAGCTGGCATATTAGAGATATCCCAGATTTTTGAGATGAGGCCTTTCTGATTTGTGGGCATATCCAAGATTGAGTCAATTATAGAGGTAGGAGGAGTATTAGGAAAGGAGGCATTATTTGCTTTAACAAAATTGCGGACTTGGAAGTATCGAAAGAGGTGAGAATGTGGCAAGTTAAATTTTTCCACACAATTCACTGAAGCTACAAAAAATGTTGACAGCATAAAGGTCCTTTAGTACGACAAGAACTGAGGTCTGCCATAAAGAAAAGGCCATATCAGTGCCAGGAGGGAGGAAGAGATCGTTGTTATGGATCGGGCTATGGTTAGATAATCCCTGGAGCCCAAAGGCCAGT